TTATAGCCTTGGATCCATTCCTAGGTTTTGTACTCATTCCCATGTGGGTTGGAGTGATTTTCATCCAAACCTAATTCCATAAGGGTTCTGGAACATTCCTGATTAACCAACTATCGATTAATGAATATTCAACCCTTTAATTAATTAAACTTTTAATTAATTCCCAAAATATATTTCCAATTAGTATCTAATTAATTATTAACCATAATAATTAATAAACCAATATCTCCTCTATTTACTCTACTCAATTTGGGTCTTGAGGGCAACCTAAACGGACCCTGTTAATATTAGAAATATTACCAATAGTTAATGACCTTGGACACTCTTTCTAACAGTCTCTCACTTAGACAAGTCATTAGTTATTCATGGTCCAATACTTCTCCAATAATCAACAGAGTTAGCCATCCAATGCAACTACCGAACTATTGATCTAATCAAGATTCAGCCCTTATATAAGTGATCAACTATGCTTTTGTTCTATGATATTTATATGAATTCAAGACATGGATAATGGTCAATCTCAGAATTCAATATTATGTTTCCCGATATAGATTTGTGAAGACTGCATCTGACTACTAAATTGAACATATCAATTCCAATCAGGACTCGGCCAAGCACTTTAGATGTCAGCACCAAATCATCGAGGGGCCCATAGATATCACTTCTCCTTTTAAGGCAGAAGGAACAAATAAACTTCGACTACATAGTTTTTGTCTACTTCATCATGTCACACATGGACATACCCTTTATAACTACCAGTTACGGATAGCGTTGGAGTAGACCAATTCATAACAGAATCATAGAGCAAAACCCCACATGTATTCAGGTTTGAAGAATAGGAGATATTATCGTCTTAGAATTACTCGTGCTTGGATCCATGAAGTAATCTCTAAGAGCGGGTTGGTCCAATACTTAAATCTCTATTAAGTACTCATGAGTGCTAGCGCAACCTTTATGTTATGCCCAATCACTATGGACAATCCACTAATACTCATGACAGTCTTGAATCACTACTTCTTTCCAAGAGTACGACCGACTGTGGACGTTTGAGTAAATTAATACCCAGGAATTGGGTTCCAAACATGAAAAAGGAGAACACAGTGATAAGAGAATTGAAATGACTGATCTCCATCATATAGTAAGATCTCCACTTAATAATCACCAAATAGAATTAACACTTATAATGCTTAAGTTCTCAAGTTTAAAACAAACTAAACTAAAAGTTTTTAAGCCAATTCATTTGCAAATCTAATGCCTCTCTACTTTGTCTAACTGTCAGACTTGGTCAGTGACATTGGCTTAGGGAATGGATCGACAAGATTATCTTCTGATATGACTTTGACCATGATGTCTTCACATTTGACTCACTATCAAATGTGTTGGAGCTTACTGAGTATGTATCATGTGAGCTTGTGTGACTTGGGATCCATACTCGAGGTAAGTTCACCCTTAAAGTGTCACACCCCCAAACCGGAACGTGGAAACGTTCGGGGGCGGAGGACGTCGTGTACAGTATCACAACAATTGTAAAATAGTAATCAAAGCAACACAACCATTACATTGATAAAATATAGTATTTACATATGTTCATAACATAGTTTGTATGACATCAAAATATGTAACAAAAGTATAAAAGACGTGACTCTAGAATGCTCCGTCTTCTCAAAATCTTGCGGGTTTACCTGTCTTATCGGTTCCCTGAGAATACAAGTGATTTTGAAAGTGTATTAACATTTAAGTTGGTGAGTTCATAAGTATGTTTTAGTGATGGAAAACTTGTCTTTGAACTTTAAAAATGCTAGTGTGTTACTCAAGAAAATCTAATATTTTCTATAGTGAATGTAATGTAGTCATGTAGGTTCCTTGTCTTTGTATACTGTATTAGTGTACTCTATGTGAGAAAACAGCGTATTGTATCTGTATTTTTATGAAAGCCTCTGTAAGTACATCTGGATACCACTAGTTGTAGTGAAAGTAGTGTACGATATTAGCGTTTGAATAAAACCTTAGTATTAATGCCTGGAATCACCAGTTGTACAGTAAAATAGTGTTCCATAGTAGTGTTTGCATGAAAACCATGTATGGATGCCTGATTATTACAAGCTGTAGTGTAAAGTAGTGTACCATAGTTTTATTAATGAAAATAAAACCATTGAAGTAGTGTTAATCACGTAAACAAACGTTTTAGTTATACTGTTGTGAGTTTCATATAGCCATGATAATATGACCTAGTGGCCTCTACGACGTTCTTCAGGCATCGATAATATGACATTTGTCACCCCCAGACATGCCTGCCTAACTGTAGCTAGCAGTTTGGGTGTGGGATTATCAATCTCGTATAGATCTATACAAAAACCTCACACTCTCCATCGGGGGGACTCTGGTTATAATTTATAGGACTTGAACCTGTACCCTGGTGGGTACCCGAAGTAGTGTCTCACAACCATGTATTAACTAGTTTACACGTAGTGTTATAACGTTCTCTTGTAATTGAAACTGTATGTATTACCTTGTAGTGTAAAATAATTATACTTAAATAATTATTTTAGTAGTGTATCTTTGTAGTAGTGAATTAGAGTAGTGGTTCCCAAACTATACCTATTATAGTTTAGATTGTACGTCCTTGTTTAGTGTATTGTACTTAGTAAAATAGTGTAACGAATCCCAACTATACCGACTATAGTTTAAATGTATGTTTTGTAGTGAAGTAAAAACATTTGCAATTTAATTGTATATAATTACCCTTATGCTCGACATATTACAAAAGGGTTAAAATATATAAAATATTTTTAGGAAGTGTAGCGAAGGCTCGTTTTGAAACAGTTGCAAAGGTTTGTAAAATATTTAAAAATATTTGTATAACACAATAGTCCTTGTGTTTTACTTATATCCCCCCCTAAAATATTAAAAACATTAAAAATGTAGGGGTATGAACTCACATTGTATGTGCGTTTGAGTTTGGGATAGAGAAGCGGAAGAGACGATCCTCGGGTTGTTGTACGAGCGAAATAACTTAATGATGATTTGAGATGTTTGGAATAAATGGTATCAATGTTTTAGTTATATTAAAAATGAAATTTTTACCCTTGATTTTTGGGTCGTTATAACAATGAGTTATGGGAGCATGCTCATGTCTTCCGCACCCCTGAGCAACTGCTGAATGACGACCCCGAACAACCGCTAAATAACAGGCCTGAGAAGCCGTCTCCTGTTATTCACTCGTCGGATGTAAAAAAGATTCAACGGGATGAATACAAAACATCATCGCCAGCACCTCTTAGGCGTTCTAAGCGCCAAAAAGTTATGTCCATATGATATAAGTCGCCATGGATACAAATGAAGAGTAAATGTGTTACACGACAACAACTAGCACCGTTGGACAATCTTTTACATCATACTGTACACACTGTTTATAAAGAACGAGATAGCTCGTTCTTGTTTGATCACAATTATTTGACCGGTTTTGCTACGCTTGAGTTTTGGACACGATTATATCCAGATAGTCATGGAGGATGGTTGTCATGTGATGTAAGTAATATAATTATTTGCTTATTACATAATACGCTTCTAATAACAATACTTACATTACTGCAAAAAAAATAATAATAATTGGCAACATATTATGATGTGGATCTCATTGCTGGTAGAGCGTAGAGTGGATGCTCGGTGGACGGTTGTGCCGTCAACTTTCAACACTGATACTGGAGTGACATGGTTAACGGATTCGTTTACCCGGCTTGGACAGAGTGTGATATGATATAATTTTGTTTGGATTACATTACCTGAGTATTTATATACTAATTAATTATTTCTAACTTTTTTTAGCTTTACATCTCAATCAATATACCACATGCTCATTGGTTTTTGGGTGCTTTAGATTTGAAGACATTCCAAATGACTATATACGATAGTCATTGGAAGGGTGACTATTGTTCGAAAAATGAGGATTAGTTTATAGGTATGAGGGCCCACATCCACAAACTGTTAGTGGGAGTCTACTACTGGGGTACCGAACCAACTGATTCAATCTCACTTGAGAACTTCAAGATGACCCTCGAAAAGGCCCAAGACGTACCACAACAGATTGACAACATAGGGGATTGTGGGGTATTTTTGTGTTGGTTCCTAGAGGCGTTGATCATCGGGAAATTAGTTTCTATAGAGGGTAAAACCACCGGTCCATGGACCGTATGTTATAGAAAACGATTAGCGGAAATTTTTTGGGATACAAGGACAAAGATAATTGGAACACCGTATTTGTAATATGACCTACAGACACATCCTTTATTTAGTTTATGTTATTATTAGTTGTTTGTTGATTTTCATTGCATTTTATATTTTTTAAAACCAAAAGTTATACATTTTACGAAAGCAAAACTTATACATTAATTTTTTTTATTTATAAAACCAAACCTAAACAAAAAGCCACATGACATACGCCAAAAAAAAAGTATTCTGGAACCATAGTCCAGAATCGTACTCTGGAATTCCGGAGACCTCTCCGGAACAATGTATTCTGAAGAATGTGGTTACTTAAAAAAATGATAATTTTTGTCAAAAAGATCATTTATAAGGGTTAGATTACTCAATTTTCCTATATTAATTGAGGAAGAGAATACATTAGTGATATTTAGACGACACTATTTGACTTGATGATCCTCAAGATAATCTAACATCCATTGATCACAACTTGCGGTCCGAGTCATATTAGGATGAGCTTGGATCCAAATTCGGATCGAAAACTGAAGAACCGAGAATCGATTTAGTAGAAATGAAGAACTGGAAATTGGACCGAAACCCAGTTCCTGTTCCGGGTCTTTTTCTGTACGATGTGGTTCCATTGAATCGAATGTTCATCCCTAAGTCATTCCATTGAATCGAATGTTCATCCCTAAGTCATACATCATGCTTCCCAAGGATTGGCTCATATATCCATTCTACTCGGTGAAATTACTTATATTTTGTAACATTCTACCATATATTTGAGTAAATAACTAAATATGTACGTAAATAGTTACAACTACGTAAACTTGTGCACAACTATATGTGGAAAAACCGGAAATTGAAACGCTTAAACCCAAAATCTAAAAAAATAAACAAAAATGATATGTTTTGGTTTTCAGTTTAGAGAAATATACCAAACCTAACGGTTTCTTGCAAACGCATGTAAAATATGATTTTGGGAAAAGAGGATGTTTAAAAGGAGATTTACATTTACGTGAATCCCCCATTCTCTCTGTTAAATACTTGCATACCATTTTTCTTCAAAACCCTAACCCTAACAACAACACATGCCCCCTTCCTCTGTTCCTCAACCATAACTCGATCAGGTATGTTGTTCCTCTTAATTTCTTATCAACTCTTCTTATATTTAATTACATCCTCTTCTTCAATCAAATTATACATTCGTCGAACAGACAGCTTCAAAATCTAAATTCCTGCCATTTAGATTGAATCAAATTCACCGTTAGATTCTTTTCAAATCGTCTGTTAATGTACAAAGCTGAAGAATTTCAGATTTCCCTGAAATTTGTTGCTCTGTTTTTATGGAATTGAATATGGTTTATCTAAACTTGAATTGAATTACCGTAGTAAACATGATCGATTTGAAATTAAAGGTGTGTAAAGCTTTCCTTTATTGTGTTATTTCTCTACAGATAAGAGATTATGTTGTAGAGATAATGGAAGCTAATCACTTGGACTCCAATGTGCTTTTGCCCCCACGAAAACGGCTTCTTGCCTGTATGAAATCCCGGAATGGGAATGGCAATTCCAATCCGCCATCAACTTCCAATCCCATGAACGAATTTGGTACCCGTCTCAATAACTTGCTGAGTGTTCATCCGAATGACAATAATCTTTCCCAATTGAAGATCGTGGAGGCTTCAAGATCAGCAGCCGAGGTTGCATCCAAGATTGCAATAGCTGCAAGAGCTTTAGCTGAGAAGAAGGCGGTAATGGCAGCCATTGCCATGGCTGCCGCCAAGAAAGCTTTAGAATTAGTAGCATCTATTAATGAGCAGGAGACTTCATCATCTACCTCAAAGAAGAACAAAAGAAAGAAACATGTTGATGTTCAAATGTTGTATGATAACAAGAATTCAAATGTTGAAAATGGAAAAACAAGTGATGAAGAATTAGCTCGACAGTTGCATCATGTCATAAACAGGTCCCCTAGAATTCCTAAGAAGCTTAAAATCCCGCTTCCTTTGGAAAATGGTAGAATTAATGAAGATGAAAATTTGATAAAAGTTGATGAATTTGAAGAGGATAAGGGTATTATTGGTAGGAAAAGGGGAAGAATGAAACAGAAGAAGTTGCCTTTGAGTATTTGTCAAAATCGGGGTCAATTAAACCCTAATGAAGATAGTAGATGGAAAAGCCCTAAATCAGTTGAAAATATAGAAAGGAGTTCACTATCTAAATGCCAGGTGTTCAAGGAAACAACTCGTTTAAAAGAAAACAAAACTATACAATCATAATGTTCATAGCTTTATACAGCCTGCTGAGGTAAGTTCACTTTGCTAATTGAGGTAGTAAACTTATTATTGGAATATTTGATCCTTTTTATACTTTGAAATAAATAACAAAATGGTGATATGGGCTGAAATATTTTATTTCTGCAGGCTCAACATGAACGTGCATAGAATTGTTGGCTTCAAAGACGTGACCATATAAGTCTATAGTACAAGTGATCTTTTTTTGTTTTTTTTTTTCCTCTCATTAGTTTGCATAGTAATCGATTGTGTTTATCATGGTTTTGTAAAGGCAAGAACATGATTTATTTACTTGAATAATGTTTCCTATTTTTCTTTTTTTATGTTTACATATATATATGTAAAATGATCATTTAACAAATTCTGTATAATGTTGTTTAAGTCATCTTGGCCCGGCCCGGCTGGCAAACCCTAATCTCTTGCATTTATGGGATAATGTTGTTCAATTCGCCTCTAATGAAGTTTGGTGCTTTTTCAAAGCGTTTTTAGGGTTTTTGGAGTTATTTGTGAGGCTTTAAAGGGTGTTTGAGATTGTTTATTTAACTCGATGAATACTTATTTATAAGTGCTTATCAACTTATGTGTTGTAAAAAAAGAAGTTTGGATTAACGTACGGGCAAGAAGCTATAAGTTAGTAAACTCTTTTTAAAAAAAATGTTTGGATTGAGTTATATATGTAAATTGACCTAAAATGACATATGAACTGAATCGGAAAGGAGGTTGGAAATGAGTAGGCTTCAAAAATATTTTTTATTACCCAAATATTGCTTATTGATTTTTTTTTGAAAAATTAATAAGTAAATAAACATTTTTCAAATTTGTGAGGGTACGTGCTTGATCTTTAGATCAAGCAATCTATCATAGCACTCTGATCATTTGTGTATGTGAAACTGTAGATAATAGCTAGTTTGAGAGGTGAACGATGGCTATTGATGGGTGCGGTATCACAGGTCCCGCCATTCCTTGAGGCGAATGGTGACCATTGGTGGGGTTTGAGGCTCGTGTTGATCATTTCCAACATACCTTTATTTCTCTATCACAAGCTTCAGTACTTGTATATTATGATTTTAATTATCGTTTTAGGATCTCAACTATCATTTAACTGGTTATCGTTTTAAGAAATGTTTTAACATTTAAAAAGGTGTGGGGGTTGGGAGGATGGACCCTTTCTGTTGAGAGTTACGAAAAATGGAAGTGAGAGGAGACATAAATACTAATGTGACACATATATGGAAAGTTGGATGGGAAAGATTCATTCCTCCCACGATGTTATTATTGATATATTGGCGCCTGTTGGTTTCGATTGTGTTTATATTTACTTTGCATATTCATAATGGTTATAATTCATATGACACCCTTTAGCGGTTTAATCGGCACCATATTAACATATTCAAACTTTTTATTGCATCGAGTTTTGGATCCTAGATTGTAAAATCAACAAATGAACAAAAAAAATGCAAGAGTACTTGTTGAAGGTGCTTGGGTCATGCATATTTTTTCTTATATGGCGCACACCTTGAATAATAGGAGACTAGAAGTCTCGATCATTTCTTGACGTTTGTTTGCTTTTTGTGTATCTTCATACAAGCTTTGCAATTAGATTTATTTTATTTTATTATTATAATTTTTTTATTTTTACAATTTGGGAAAGAGTTTTAACTTTTTATATAAAAATGATTTGCCTAATGACTGAAGCGGCTTCTCGATATTTTGAAGTTATGGGGAAGGGGGAACACCTTTGGCGATCAAGCTAAGTGGCCCATTTCGAACCACGTCACACCTCATGTTTAGCCAATCCTTATGTGCCTTTGATGAGATTTGAACTTGTCAATCATACGGGAATGTTTATCATGTCATCCTCCATATCCACTTGGTCATCAAGTGATCATTTTACTTTTAACATAAACTAGTATTTTGCCCGTCGCATGTTGTGGCTACGTCAATATGTTTGTAAATTGAATCTAGACGAATGTATTGATCAAAATTAGGTCCCATTCCATTTGTTGATAGATAAATATACAAGGTCGATATCACGGACAAAATTATTGGTGGATCGGGGTAAACACGAAAGTTTAGAAAGTGGAGGGGGGGGTGAAATGAACATTTTACAAAGTTTAAAGCTGAGGGGATGAAAATGACATTTGATAGAGTAGAGGGGAGATAACTATAGGAAAATCATATTATATAAACTACAGATGTTAAACATGAAACGTTACAAAATGGAGGGATGAGATTGACGTTTTAGAAAGTTCTAAGGCAAGGGCTGAAATTGACATTTTATAAAGTTGTGGGCTGGAAAATGCTATTTCACCAAATAGAAGGTTAGAAAGTGCCATTTAACAAAGTTGAAGGGTGGCAAGTGTCGGTGGAAATATCCACTAGACTTATATTGTCGAATGAAAATGTTTATATGTGACCAAACTGATACGTATGGAACGTACATAAAATTAGAACGAAATCATACACAAAATTTATATCGAAATGTAAAGAAACTTAAATTTATGTTGATACATACATTAAAATAAGCAAGTAACATTTTTTTTAAAGTTAAAGAATGAAAGTTAAAATAATAATAATAAAAAACGCAGTATATGTGACCCGACTCATACGTAAAAAGCGACGAAACGAACATAAAAATAAGTACGAAAACATAGAAAAAATTAAGTTGAAACATAGACAAACTCAAATTTATACCGATACACACATATAAATAAAGCAAGTAACGAAAGTTCTAAATTTACGTCGAAATGTTGAACATCTAGAATTTATACCAATAAATGCATAATAACTAATAAGCAAGTAAATTTGTTTTTATATAAGTTAAGGAACGCAAGTTACTAACGAAAATCAAATTATATATAGTACATATGATAAACACAAATGTCTAGAAAATTGATGGGTTGAATTGTAGACCAAAAGAGAAAAAAATATTCACAAGGACTAAACTTGCAAAAGAAAAAGAAAAGACCAAAAAGAAGTACAAGGAGACTAAACTTGCCAAGATAAGTAAAAAAAAGAGTAAATTACACGAATAGTCCCTATGGTTTGGGGTAATTTGCGCGTTTGGTCCCTAATTTATTTTTTTAATTCGGAAAGTCCCTAATGTTTGTTTTTGTTACGTCGTTGGTCCATACTGTTTGTTTTTGTTACGCACTTGGTTCCTATCTTACCTAAAAAATACTATTATTTAAATAGAGAAAAATGGTGGGGTAAGTAAGGTAAAGTGAGGGGATGAGGTTGGTGGTGTGTTTTATTTAAATAAATAAAAAAATCAAGAGCAAAATAGTTTTTTTAGGTAAGACAGGGACCAAGCGAGTAACAAAAACATTGAATAGGGACCTTACAAGTTAAAAAAATAAGTTAGGGATCAAACGTGCAAATTACTCTAAACCATAGGGACCATTCGTGTAATTTACTCAAAAAAAAAATGTACACATGGACTAAATTTGTCAAAGAAACCCAAAAAAAAAGTATATGGGGACTAAATTTGCCAATATAAGGACAAAAAAAGAAAGAAAAAAAAAGGTTCACATTAATTAAATTTGTCAAAGAAACCAAACAATGATTGAAATTGCCAAACAAAGACCAAAAAGAAAAAAAAATCGCACACCAAATTTACCAAAAAAGACAAAAAAAAATATAGGAATTAAACTCTCTAACTAAAAGGACCAAAGTTGCCCTTTAGTAGGAGGCGAACTTTATGTTAAATAAGAGAACAACAAAGTATACGCTTTAGGTCAAGAAAGTGTGCCGGTGCCATTAGTTTTTTCATGTATATTTTCAAAGAGTATTTGGTCTTAGGTTTGATTCTTATTAGAGGAAACATATGTGATATTTAAGAGTAAGTTAGTTTCTCGTTTAAAAAAGTTAATATACTTTTTTTAATAATAACATTTAAAAGGCATTTTAAATGTAATAAATTAATATTTATATATTTTTTTCAAGTGGATTGAAATATATATATATTTTCAAACATATAAGTCAATTGAAATATATTCTAGTGGAAAATTAAATAGAAATTATAATATTAAGACTAAAATTGTGATTTTAATTTTAAAATCAATTAAAAGATATTTTTAAATGAGAAATACAAATTTTTTTAATCATAAATAAGTTGTTTTATATTCACGATTAAAAGTATATTCTAAACAAAACCGACTAATAAAAAACCGTTTTTAATCTTAACTCTTCATGTAATTATTATGGAACATTATTCAAACATTTGATTATCAAGACTACAAGTGACAGTGTTTAGAAACTTTATCTATCATATTGTAGGGTGTATTTGATTTGCCTTTAAAATTGGATCGGATCTAAAACCGGGATCCGAAACAAGATAACATATTTTTTGATTGAATTAGCAAAGTTGTTGTTTATTGAATATCAATAAGGGTGTATTTGATTTGCTTCTAAAACTGGATCAGGTCTAAAGTTGGATTGGGTCCAAATCGATAAAACGTACTTACTGATAGAATGAAGAAAGTTGTTGTCTATGTATAAAGGTGTATTTGATTTGACTTTAAAATTGGATCGGGTCTAAAGTTGAACCGGATACAATTCAACGTAACATATTTTTTTAATAGAATTAATTAGGGAAGTTGTGTATTTAATTTGCTCTAAATGGGTCTAAATTCTTTAAAACTAGATTGGGTCTAAAGTTGGACCGGGTCCAAAACTTTCATGTGTGTTATAACCTTCTAAATGGACTCAGGTCCATGGAATTCCCTGATTCGGTCCGCTAGCAAATGTGGAAGGACCCGAACAAAATTAATTATCTCATTTGCCCTAAACATCGCAAGAACAGGACCTCCGACTCACGTTCATCTTCCTCAGGTGCGACTCCATTTTATCGTTTTTTCTGAACACTTTTTGTGCCATTGAACATGATTTTGTGCGATTTCTTCAATCTTTCTTTCTCGTTTTCTTCAAGCTTTCTTTCTACCGAATGAGGTTCAATTTGTGTGTATTTCTGTTAAAAACAGATGTGCGGCTGTGTGTATATTTGTGTGTATTCGAACTCAGCTCCACATGATAAATGCTTGATGAAAACAGAGTTGCTACATATTTTGTGTTAAAAACAGATGTTTGTATATTTCTGTGTAATCGAAATCAGCCCCTTATGTGTGTATGGGTGTATGTTTATTTCTTGATCTTGCTCTACAAGTAAATATGTAACATTTTTATCATTCCTTTATTCCTTAGACATCGAAGAAAAGAAAAGTTGAGCTAGTTTAACATAAACTGGTAACTAGTTTATGTGAATTACATTTTAAACCAATCTGATCACATGGTTAACTTTGTGTTTGGGGTTTTATCAGGTATTAGTTTTGGAGAAGAAAGATCGACTAAAGATATAATTGAGAAAGATGCGATTACTTACTCATGCAATTTCCCAACTCTCTACAAATTCAAGAGCCACACAGTTAAAAAGCATCACAAATTCATTAGCTTATACTTTCAGTTTAAGCAATCGTTTTCTTTCAACTAATAAAGGAAACGAAGGTGATATTGATTGGGGCTCTGCATCAACTTGGTCAAGCGGGCTCACTAAAGAGCATTTTGATGGGGAGGTTATAGGACACAAAGTAGGCGGCAATGATGGCGGTGGTGGTGGTGGTGGAGGAGGAGGGGTATTAAGGTCATCTCAACTTGTACCTAGAAGTTGGAATAATGATGATGATGATGAAATGGAAAAGCTAAGGAAAATGGCAGCTGAAGCTTCTAGAAAAGATGGTGAGTTTGCAAGTAAATGGAAGGAAAGGATGCGTGAAACAAGTTTGTTAATGAAACAGGTGATTGAGCCAGGGGCAAGAGGGTCATATTTGAAAGATTCAGAAAAGGCTGAAATGTATCGGTTTCATAAGGAGAATCCAGAAGTTTACACTGTTGAGAAATTAGCAAAAGATTACAGAATCATGAGACAAAGGGTTCATGCTATTTTATGGTTGAAGGAAGATGAAGAGAAAATGGAGAAAAAACTTGGACACCCTCTCGATGATTCTGTTGAACAGTTGCTTGATAATTTCCCTGAGTGAGTGAGTCATATTAATTATTTGTTTAAAAGACCATAATACCCTTATGATCGATTGTTTTTTTTTTGTTCAGATTCTTCGATTGGCATGATAGGGAATTCCATGTTGCGACTTTACCATATAAGCCGGATTTTAAAGTGATGCCAGAAGGTTGGGATGGAAGCATTAAGGATCCAGATGAGGTGTTGTATGAGATTTCAATGAAAGAAGATGAAATTTTATATCAAGAATTTTCTTGAGAAATTCAACTTTAACAAGATGAAAGTAAGTAATTTTTTTATTTTATTATTGTTATTAGGACATTATATTATGGTATTTTTTTTTTTTATGACATGACAGATTGAGGGGAAAGTGAAAGTGCACAAGTACAGTAGGAGGCGTCCAACAGAGGGATGGGATATTACAGTTGAGAAGATGGGGCCACGTGGCAAACGGGGGGATGGGGGTGGTTGGAAGTTCAAGAGCTTGGCTGATGGGTCCACCAGACCACTTAATGATTATGAGAAAATGTTTGTAAAACGAGAGAAACCTCGCAGGAGACGGAAGATTCTACACCCAAAATAAATTCAATTCTCACATATTTAGGATTTTTGTTTGTGTTAAATGTAGTGCAAACATCTGTCTTTTTTGTTTCTTTGTTACTACCTATATAAATGTAATATGCTTTGGCCAAAACATTTCATAGATTTTCGAAATGGAACCTGTTAGGCCAAATTTATATAAATGGTTCCTGATTTAATAGGAAATTTACAAAGATGGTTCTTGTGTTCCATAAAATTACAGAAACAGTCCCTGCCTAACGAAATGACAGAATAGATCATCATGTTTCAAAAAACTACATAAACGGTCATTGCCGAACTTAGGACATTATATTAATGATGTCCAAAATATAAGATTAACTAGGTGTGAGACCGATGTATTACATGAGTTTATTTAAAAGAAAAAAACTAAATATAAAATTCTAAACATTTGAGAAGTTTTAATTTATAAGAAAAATGAGAAAAATATTAAATTATAAAAATTAAAGTGTTTTTTTTTAAATTTAAACAAATAAATTAGATAAATAAATAAAAGAAATTAATGAAGCTTTAATTTAATAATTTTGAAATTAAAAGAAAAATTCATTAAGGAAATTAATATGCATTTATTATTGCATTTAAATAGTATGTGGAATTTAATAAAATAGAAAAACCATAAAATGACATGTGGAATAAAATTAATTTAAAATAACCACAAAATGATATTTGACAAATTGAATGAAAGTGTGACAAATGGCAAAAAAATCTTCATTTATTAAAGTAGATAAACTTGTTGCAACAACCGGGCCATCCCACTAATTAGGGTTAATTTCTTGTGTTTGGAAATTAGTTTGAGAGTTTGAAATCGAGTGTTTTCAAAAAAGGTAATGATTTATAATGATAATAAGTTTTACTCTATACATGGGGTTGTTTGGCCGGATCTTGATTTTTAAAATATGCATTTTTAACATGATGATTTGTTGAAACCTCTATATTGTTGTGTTGAATGATAAAAATTACCATTTTATCCTTTTATATTATTTTATGATAAGTTCAATGTTTATATTTTATAAAATAACTAGCCAAATTTTTGAATAATTATAAAAAATAATCATATGCATTTAATGAATGCAATGGTATATAATTTGATCTCTCATTTCTACTCTAAGTTGGAACAGAAAGCGTTTTCATTAGGGACTTCAAAATATTTACTTCATTGGATTTAAAAACTCCCCAAAACTCCCTTGCAAGTGGCCACATCATTTGAGCCATGGATTGCCCTTGTGCATGTGTGCATTTGAGCCATGGCCCATGGATCAAAATTCAAAATACTCTAAAATTTGAAGAACTCGGAAGTATATTTATTTGTCGGTGATGTCTATTTTGAAATTTCATTTTTTGTCAGAGAATGTACTTGTGAATATCACTTATTAGGCTAAGCGGAGTGGAGGTCGTCACCGGCCTCGCTATCCTCGCTAACCAACTTGAAACACCGCCCCCTAGCACTCGCTAGGGGGGTCGCTACCGGGCACTCGTCGAAGTTTTGGCGAGAAGAGAGAGAAACAACAACGCATTGTGATTGGTTGGAAGAAGACGAAGCGGAAATCGGGTTTGATGTTCTCCAAAACAAAATCAAAATTTTTATCGAATTACAAAATTCTTAACTCAATATTAACAATAAAGATCCAGAAATTTCGAAGCCGGAAAACGTCCAAATCTCACCGAAATAACGTCGCTGCCGCCACCCAACTGCATCTCCTCCACTGTCGCCAGTCGTTGAACAACTGTGTCTCCGTCACCGGACTGTCACTTCTCCGCCTCGCTATATTTTCTCCGGTGTTCGCTCCTCCGGCCGCCAGCAACCACTCTCCCTCTTCGATCTCCTCTCCATAACAACAATATCTGTATTTTTCTTCTTTCTCTCTCTAAATCTCTTAAAATATTACCCTGGCTCTTTATGCCTATCAAGATGGTGATGGTTGAGTGTAAATAGGTATATGTGACAAAAGGAGCTGACGATTTTTCTGTATACAATCATAATATAATATGTGATTTATTTGATATAATTTTAAAAGAATTCTATAACTTTTATTTTTATAATCAAAATATAGGTTTTTTATATAATATATTTGTATAAAAAATGTTTGTATACTAAACTAAAGTAATTTAATTAAATTAGAAAAATAAAATCAAAAAATAAAATAAAAATATAGAGTGCTAGGAGTGTTACCACTCCCTACCAAATGCTAAGATTTAGTGTTATATCGTCACAAATGAGGTAACACTAAAAAATCTGGCGTGACAAGGTGTTAGGAGCGTTACCACTCTCTTTAGCCTAACTATAATATAATTTTTTTTATACTTATTAAACCATTGCTCTTATATAAAAGTTTCACTCCCCTCGACATTACTCGTTAATTTGTTAAATATTGACCGTTTAACCATTTTTTTTCCTATCATGACATGTACATGATGCATCCTTAATGACACCTTATCATCTTTTTTAGTTCATATAAGATCCAAGACATTGTTCTATTATGTAGGCATAAAACATAATTGTAGGAGTCCATCTCACGGAAGATAATCGTTTTCCCAAATATGGGTTCATGAATGCTAATTTGATTTTGTGAATGCATTTCCTAGCAAAATACTATCAAATATCGGTGTGTTTATGTAGAGAGAATGATAACACTGACCTACATCTAAAAAATTAAACAATTATTTCTAAAACAATTGAATCCATGGAGATTTAATGATTTAGCGGACGTTCCTCATAATTTTGAACGAAAATATTTTAAAGAAAATACACAATCCAAAAAAATAATTTTCCTTAGTAGAAAAATTACAACAATGAAAAAACTCCCAACAATAAAATAATACCCCCTCCGTCCCATATTAATAGTTCATGTTTTCTTTTTGGTTTGTCCCAAAATAATAGTCTACTTTTAAAAATAAACATGTCTTTTACCATAATACCCTTTATTATTAGTTAAATTATCATGAAATTAAATACAACTACCATGAAATTAAATACAACAAAAGGGTAAGACTGTCATTTTATTTAATAAAGTTAATGATAATTAATGTTTTCTTAATCTGTGGACAATTATTTTGGGGCGGAGGGAGGGGTTTGAGAAGAAGGCATTCTTGTTAGCTTTCAATTTGCCTACTTACTTCTCAGCTTTTCTGCCAAACGACTGCTACCTTTTCGATTGCTATCATCCAGTTGTTGAAGAATGAGTTCTTCCTCTAAATAGATGGCGAGAATCTGTTATTGGTGGTAGGGCATGGTTAAGCTTTTAGTAGGCATAGAGTAGAAGAAACTGATCGATCGAGAGAATTTCCACCAGATGCCAGAAAGAGGAAGACAGAAGCAAGAGTCCCCCATAGGAATCCATCGCTATTCCTTTCCTCCACCGAGAAAGGTTCATTCCGAGTCACAAGAACAATCTCTCTTTTTTTTGAATGATTTTATCTTTTCGTTATGGTAATGCAATGCAAGAGGTCGGAAATCAGGTTGTTTCTGATGATGAAAAGAGTATATTATAAAAACATGAAAATCAGGATCTCGTAAAATAAATGTATGCCCACAAAATGCATATATTAGCATAAACATTAGCAATTTCGAAGAGTTTGAATGAAATATTGACTCGGGAAAATGTATAAAACCACGGTTATCTTCTTAATCTAATACTTCAATAATGAATATAAAGAAAAGAACAAATTACACGAATGGTCCTTAAGGTTTTGTTTTTTTTCCTAAAGTAGTCCTTACAAAACTTTTTTCCCTTAGATGGTACCTACGGAGCAAATCTTGCACACAAATGATCCTTATGACTAACTTTCTTAACAGATTCTGTTAAGTGTGTGTGAAAAGACGAAAATGCCCTTTGTTTTTATTTATTTATTCATTTTTTATATTTCGTTAATTAGAAATTAAAAAAAAGGTGGGGCCCACCTTCTCTCTCTCTCTCCCTCCTTCTCTCTCTCTCTCTCTCTCTCTCTCTCTCTCTCTCCTTTGCTCGCTGGAAAAACGAATCAGATTGAAGAAGGTTGTTGCCTCCGATCTAACCTCCCTTCTGCCACCTGTTCCACTTCCCACTCTGATCAGCGGTACCATCGGTGACCCTCACTGCTTTCCTCGACAATTAATGGGTTCTTCTTTCCCCATTCATGTTTGTTGCCGATTGGACCAGAAAAAAGAAAGAAGATGCCGACGACAGCCTTCCGTCGGTTCCCTTCCTCGCGATTTGCTAAACCACCATCGTACCACCTCTTGTTGTTGTTGTTTTTGAAACCCTAACTATGATTTTGGGGGTGAGCGCTTTTAGTAATCGTGTGGACGGTGTGTGTGGTTTTAGTGTGCGTTTTTAGTTGCAGATGGAAGAAGGTCGTTGCCTCCAATCCACATCGTCGCCCTGTCAATGCTCGCCGGACCACCTTGCAGAAACCCCATGAAACCTGCAACTCATTGCTTCATCCCTTGCTCCCTGAAGCCATCTTATTTGAGAGTTTCGTATTACCACTACCAGGGTTTTACAGAGGCGGAGGCGCTGCAAAGTCGAGCCATAGACGGAGATCGAAGTTTTACTCTAGCCACATGCGCTACAAACTCGAACCTGAACTCTGGCGTTGTCAAACCTGAACAAGACCAACGATTTGGGAAAGATGGCGGAGGAGAGAGAGAGAGAGGGACAGATTTTCCTTTAAGAGTTTTCAGTGTTGCGTTAGGGTTTCATGACGGCGGTTCGTCTTCTCCGTGGCGGAAACCCGTGAGCTTGAACGATGTTTGTTTTTTTGTTCTCCAGTGGTTATTTCAAGTCAAGACTAGGGCTTTGTGTGTGTGTGTGTGTGAGAGAGAGAAAGAGAGAGAGAGAGAGAGAGAGAGGACCATCTATGTGCATAAAACAAAGGGTATTTTTTTTCCATTTAACAAAACTTAACAAAATCTGTTTAACAAAGTTAGTCACAGTGGCCTTTTATGTGCAAGGTTTGTTCCGTAGGTACCATCTGAGGGAAAAAAGTTTCGTAGGGACTACTTTAAAGAAAAAAAACCTTAAGGACCATTCGTGTAATTTGTTCTAAAGACAAATTAACCAGTAAAAAAAAATTAACAAGTAAATAAACAAAATGGACTTCAATATAACTGGGCCTTGCTTTGAGTATGGCCTATAGCCCTACACCTTTTGTTAGTATTTGTATAGTTGTATTTTTATTTTTTACTATCTA